CCCGTCCACACACACTCACACCTAACACCTAGTCCTACCTCTAAACCAAGAAGAAAAAGAAAGAACAATAATTTTAAAAAAACATTTCATAGAGTAGACCTTCAATCTCCATTAGTGATAAATGATCGAACAAAGGCAAGACAGTACCGAGATAAAGATGAAAAAGAAGACGATAGCCTGAGGGGATCAAAACATAGATTGATATCGAGAGGATATTATCTAACACTTATGTTTGTCTTTTCGTTTTTCTGATGTTGTTTTAAAAACAAACGAACTAGGATTTTTAAAATTCTTTTTTTTCAATTAGTCTTTCCTATTTTTATTCTTCTGATCGCAGGGAAGAAAGTATTCCAAGGATATACACCCAAGGCTGCGTCGTGTGTTGCAGAAAGCAAGGCGTACCTTGTAGCATTCCAAAATAGCCAATGTTCAAACACACACAAAAAACCCCTAAAGAAAACACCAAAATCAACAAAACCAGCGGGAAAATGCCCACCATACACACCACACAATAGATTCCCCTACCAAGAGATCATCTAAAAAGGTTGGGGAGAGCGCAGTCCGAGTCTCTCAGACACGGGAAACTCTAAGACCATTCATTTGTGAACATTTTGCCTTATCTCTTCTCTCTGTATTTATTCAAACCCATTGAGGACAGGAATCATTCTTCAAATGGGTCAGGGGATTAGGACCGAGACTACTTGCACATGAGATTAGACATTTTGGTTTAATTTACAAATTGAGTCAGGTCTTCGAGATGCTGAGGAGGAAACTTAAAAGGAAGAAAGGAAGAAAAAAAAAAAAAAAAAGAAAGAAAAAAAGTTGAGGAGCTGTTTTCTTGACAGTCTTTGTTACTGGTTACAGAGCTCGGGCTGGAGAGAGGAGTATGACATTGATTCTCAGAACTGCCGGCGTCTGTTCGTGTACTCAACAAATTGAAGGGCTGATCGCTTATTGCTTTTGTAGGAGGAGAACTCCACATGGGTCTGTCTGCCTGGTATGGTCTTCCTCTCGTGGTTTTCATTGCTCGCATCATTTCTGCGATAATTTCTTTCTTTTTTTTTGCGTTTTATGTGAGGGTTTGAGAGTACAACATTAGCGGGATGAAGTTTTAGTAAGGTTTTACGGCGTTCGCAGTTGCATAAGGTCATATACGCGCCAAGGGGTGGATGTCAACAGAGAAGTCCAAACGGGGAATCAGACTTACTATCCTCACCTCTCAAGGTCATACTGGTACCCAAAATTAGAAGTATTACTAGAGAGTAAAAAGAGACGGAAGAGAGATAAGGACGACAGATGTTTGATAGGAAAGAAGGAACAAACCACACCAGAGCACCCGCCAACCGCCCACAATACAACCACAGAGAGACGTACAAACTGGCAGGAAGTGCTGAGGAAACCGAGATCATTTTTGGCCAATTTTCTCAATCCGTCCCGTCCACTCCATGCCCCCCTCTAGGGATTGTGGGTAAACAACAGGTCAAAGTCTGTCAAAGAGCTGCCCGGCCCAGTCGGGTCCGTGTGCACACACAGCCTGGCTCGGACACAATAGAGCGCTCCGGACATACCCGGCCATCGCCCACTGCCCACCCAAAGCAGAGGCCTAGCTAGCACTTTAGGAGGGGGAAAGTTTACAGAGTGCCCGAGAGAGAGAGAGAGAGAGAGAGAGAGAGAGAGAGAGAGAGAGAGAGAGAGAGAGAGAGAGAGAGAGAGAGAGAGAGAGAGAGAGAGAGAGAGATTGCTGTATGT